GCTCAGAAAAAATGGAGTAGAGTAGAGTAATAGACAGCTTCATGGAGGAGAGGTCTATTCATGCAGAATGGCATGGAAGTTCCAGCAAACCTCATGTACCAAAACCATCTTATAACCCTGAGTGGTGGGGATAAAGGGAGGAAAGCTACCACTTTCATACCACAGTTGTGAGTATCCAAAGCATGAATCTGGTTGTAACTGGACTAGGGATATACAGCTCCAGCTGAATTCCACAGATGGCCAGACATCTTTGGCTCTGCTTCTTGCCAGATTTAAGGTTTTTCCATTTCCTGAACGGTTGTTCCTCGCTCATGCAGAACTTTGTCCTTTCAGAAGTGCAGCCCCCTGCAAATGCATACAGTATCTCCCCACTAAATACACATTTTCATGTGGACAGAAATGACATTTCCAGTCAGTGTTTTTGTTTTAATGTCTTATATTATCCTATGATTAAATTTTCCTAAAATTCTGGATACTAAAAAAAGTGGGGAAAGTGCAACTTGGGAAAAGCTGGTCCAGTGCAGCATCTATGGGTAAGATTTATAGAAGTTCAAATTCAGAATCCATTTCGGATTTCTCCAACATCCCTAGGTTGGACGTTAATTGTGGTCTAGAAGGAAATTATATCTGATCCTATGTGAAAACTCTTGCCTCCTTTCTCTGTGCTTGGTCTGTGATGAATTATAACTTGGCTGGTTATAAGGCTGAAAGATGAGTCACCTTTCCGTCCTTCCTGAAGCCTTCTGGATTTTTCTGAAACTCTCTGTTTTGTTTCAGCTTCTTAGTCTCTTTGCTTTTCTCAAAGAGATCCTTAAGGGGAAGGGGGAGTGTCAAACAGTCCCCTGATGTTCTTCTCAAGTCTAATTAGCTTTCCTGTGCTTCCCCACAACACACACACCCTCTTGGACCCCTTCACGTGCCCACAGCACCTGGCACATTCCTTTTGAAGTCCGCCACCCCTGGGCTCCCATGAATACCTTGATTTCTTACATACTAACTGAAAACGTTTGGTTCACTCACTGGTTCCAAATTTCCTTGATGACTTCAAAGAGCAGTAAAATCCCCTCAAAGTGAAGACCTTTCTCTCTAGACATGCAACTCTGCCCACAAGGAATCTTTAAGACAAGTTTCCTTCCTTCCTCCCAGTTCTCTGACATACACAGATGAAAAACCTCTGGGCTCCCTTGTGAAGAGCAGGCACTGCCCTCACAAAGGGAAGGGAAGGGAAGGGAAGGGAAGGGAAGGGAAGGGAAGGGAAGGGAAGGGAAGGGAAGGGAAGGGAAGGGAAGGTCTTGAGTTGTTGTGGGGAGGGGATGGTTCCTCTTCTAGGCTGCTGCTGTCCATTTGCTTGCCCTCTCCAGTCTGTCCCAACCCACAGAGCCGTCCAGCTGGAGAAGACAACCCAAGGGGAAGTGACTGCTCCTTTCCCTCATTGTATTTCAATGTATTTTATTGTGTTGTAAGCCGCCCCAAGGTTTCAGCAAGGGGCGGCATAGAAATGTTGTTGTTGTTGTTGTTGTTATTATTATTATTATTATTATTATTATTATTATTATTATTATTCCTCTCCTGGCTTCCTTGATTGCCTGCAGCAGGAAGGTGGAGCTTCACAGAGGGAGAGGGGTCTCTGGTGCTGGCAGTGGGCTCTGGCAGATGCCCCACCGTGCCTTGTGAGTGAGCAGATCAAAGGCAAAGAGGAGAGGAGAAGGAAAGGTGTGTGGGCAGGAGCCCAAATCACTAGGAGTACATGGAAACTACATAAAAAATAGTTTGGGGAGCAAATCAAAATGCTGGGGTAGAAACAGTGTTCAGTTAATAAGTGGGGATTGTCATGTACTTCCCATACGAGCCAGAAGAAAGTGCTTGTGTTGATTGGTGTTAGAATAGAAGACTTCTCTGGAGACCGAGTTACTATTTTTGACCAAGGTTCCTGGACTTCACCCAGGAATTACCCAAAATCGATGGGCACCATCACCAGACAGCCTCTGAGTTTCACCCACTGAGCCAAAAGTCAGTTTAGGGAGCCACCCAGCTATTTGCATGTTTTATTCGAGGCATTTCCAGCTCAAAGTCCATGAGATGTAAGGTGGCCAGCATTTCACAATGGAAGGAAATACTGCTTGCTTGCAACACCACTGTCCTCCTACCAAAGGCTTCTCCTTGCACCTTTACCCCACCCCTCCCCACATACCTGCCCACAGACTGGCACATCTGCAAAGGAGCAAAGGTTCTTTTTATCATACAGGAGTTGGGAAACGTGGGCAGGGAGCTTGGTTGTTTCCTGGTCTGTGCATGGACAAGCTGCAAGCTTGGGTGAAACATGGGAAGCTGGCCAGATGTGACAGATGGCAAGGGAGAACAGAAGTGGAGGAGCCATAAAACTATGCAGATTTTGAATTGTCACTGGGGTTTTCTACACTTAAATATTTAATCATTTTGTTCTGTGGGTGCGTGGGGAGGTGCACATTTGAATACAGAAAGTCTGGATGCTATTTTTCTTAGGGACAGATTTATTAATTATATTGACATCTTTTTTTTTTCTTTCAAGGAACCCATGGTGGCTAGCATAACTCTCCTCTTCTTTCTTTCCATTTTTGTCCTCATGACCACCCTGTGAAGTAGGTTAGTCTGGAAGCGTGTGACTGGCCCAAAGTCACCCAGCGGACTCCATGGCTGAGAGGGGACTAGAGTCCAGGTCTCCCAAATCCTAGTCAAACACGCTAACCACTAGGCCATGCTGGGATAGGCTAACTCCCCTCAGCTTGCCTAAGAATTGATTCATTCCTTCTAAGCATTCTTGGAGAAATCCAGGCAAGCAGGGAAGGCAGAAGTCTTTCCCCCCATTTTAAGCTTTTCTGAGGAAGCTTGGGAAAAATAAATAGGAAAACACTGCCACGCCTTTGCTGCCTTTAATCTCTGCCTTCACACACACCCCTTCTCCACGCTGCTGAAAAAGCTGAAGGACTGTCGTTGTGAATGACTCACTGAAGGCAAGGGGGCAAACAGACTTCATTCTGAGCTGGAAATGGAGCCCCAGTGCAGCCCCACCAGGAAACCTGGGGATGCAATTTCCTATGCCTCCCAACCCAGTCGGGAGCCATGGGAAAGAACATTCTCATGCTGCCCAGCAGGTAGCAATGCCCCCAGCCATGCATAAAGGCATCATGCCCCTCCTGCATCTAGCAAGCCTCTTCTGCCACTGTCCACCCGCTCCCCCTCTTTACAGCAAGGAGCTTTTTTGGCAGGTGGTGTTCTTGCAAAGGGGAGGTCTGGCAGATTGGGCTGACTGATCACAGTGGTCCTTCCCGTTGGATCGTGCTTGCATATGAATTTTCCCAAACTTCCCAATATCAGATGCACCTAACACTTAGAATGTGTTTGCGTATTTATTCCAAGAACATGTTAGTAACTTTTCAGGGCCAAGACATTGCAAAGTGAATAAATTGCTGCTGCTGCTGCTGTTTTTGTTTCAGAACAATAGGACATCAGGCAGAACAGAGATGAGAGTTTATTGGGGTTCTCTGCTCTCCACTGCCAAGCTAATTCCTCCCAAGTGAGCATTCCTCTGCACAGAAATGTGTGTGCCTTTTTCTGGCCCTTTTTTCAATGATGCACGTTTCCCGATGCACGCACCACTGAGCAGAGCATGTTTGTGCTTATTTTTTCAATTGTACAGAGGTTGTCCAATGAGCTATTTGTTTTGTGGAATGCATTATGACCTTGGACATGGAGATTTTTTTCCCACTACAAATTGCATGCAGGTCCATATTCAATTCTGGAAGGAACAAATTGGGTACATCAGATAAGCAAATAGACCCTATCCATGGAGTAATTTCTCACACGTGTCTAGGCAGAATATGTAAGCATGACATAGCTAAATAGACCCATGGGGAAAACTGCATTCGACCACAAAAATCATTAGGTGCACAACCACATTGCCCCATGGCTGATGCAAGGAAGCCTCCACACTCAGGGATTTGCATGTATTTTATGCCTGCAAAAAGACAGTGGCGATCAGCTATGGCACCCATTAGCTAGGCAGGCCATGGGCTCTCTCACACTGCAGGCATTTGGGAGACAGTCATTGGTCAGGGGTGCTGAGCTGGAATCCTGTATCGAGCAGGGAGTTCAATTCGATGGCTTTATAGGCCTCTTCCAACTCTACCATTCTATGAGATGGCGGAGACCATCTCTGCTGCCACTGCAGCTCACACTGTCCATCGAGATTTAGTGCCATGGATGAGGAAGGAAGGGGAATAGGCCCCTGGCTGGAATCAACCTAAATGCATGACCCCCGGCTCTTCCACTCCTCCCCTCCCCCCAGGATACAGTGTATTCCTCCTCTGAGGCCCAGTTGCGGTCTCAGTGGGGCATGAGGGCAGCACAGTTCTTCCTGCGCTAGATGCAAAGTGGTGAGACAGAAGCTCAGCCTTTGGAGTCCTGGCTCCAAGCTCACCGGACTTCTGTGATGACCCTAGGGTGTTCCAGCTAGTGCCAGGGGGTCACAGGATTACATGCTCAGGGAAATGCTATGGTAAAAAGACTTGCATTTTTTCAGCTTTCTTGAATGCCAGAACTGAAAAGGCCAAACGAATGTGAACAGAAAGGGAGCACTGGGTGAATAAGGCCATACTGTTTCCTCGGACCTATGGCTCTCTGGTCTGAACCTTTAAGGATGAATTATTTTATTTGGCAGGCATGCAAGAATGGGCTTAGGCATGGCCTAGAAAAACTAGGAAGCGTGCAGAATGAAATGGCTGGAAAGCAAGATCGGGGTGGGGGAGCAATGACAACTCCATGAAGTAAGCCAGGTCTAGCACTGAGATGTTGCTGATAAACTCTCTGGAGTAGCCTTGCCTGTCCTGGGGTCCTGCAGACATTTGGGGCTACAATGCCCAACCCTTCTAGAGGACTCCAGACTGAGGGAGTCTGAGCTTCAGTCTTGCTAACATCACCATCTGTCTGGTTTCAGGTACCACTGATAGCAGAAACCGGAGACCATGAACTGGTCTGCCTTTGAACAACTCCTGGGTGGAGTGAACAAATATTCTACTGCCTTCGGACGCATCTGGCTCTCCGTGGTCTTCATCTTCCGATTGCTCGTCTATTTAGTGGCAGCTGAGAAAGTCTGGGGAGATGACCACAAGGAGTTTGACTGCAACACAGAGCAGCCTGGCTGCCCCAACGTCTGTTATGACCTTTATTTTCCAATCTCCCATATCCGCCTCTGGGCTCTGCAACTCATCCTGGTGACCTGCCCTTCTTTGCTGGTCATCATGCATGTTGCCTACCGAGAAGCAAAATTCAAGAAACGTCTGGAGAAGTTTGGACCCGAGTGCAGACCACGCTACCCTCCAGGCAAGAAGCGTGGAGGCCTGTGGTGGACCTATCTCTTCAGTCTCGTCTTCAAGGCCTCGGTGGACATCATATTCCTCTACATCTTTTACCACGTGTACCCAAACTACAGGCTTCCCAATCTGGTGAAATGCAACCTCCCTCCTTGCCCTAACGAAGTAGATTGCTACATAGCTAGGCCAACGGAGAAGAACATCTTCACCCTGTTCATGATCATCTCGGCCTGTGTTTGCGTGCTCCTCAGTCTTATGGAAGCCTTCTATCTCATAGCAAAGAGGTGCAAGGAGACCCACCCAGACCAGAGTGGGAGTCACAGGAGAAACGATGGTGAGATGCTCATTCTCAAGAGAGATGCTTGCTCCCCACCGTCCAGTCACCAAGATGCCATTGAAATGAGCCCTCAGGTCTTTCATGGAGCAGACTACAAACCAGTCACCTCGCCCCTCATAAAGAGCTCACAGGGTGTGGATATGGATCCCTCTAAACATGGGAAGCAAGGGTAACTCCTCCCGGAGGTGGGATGGCGACCCTTCTGCGGGATCCAGAGTGGCTTCTTTTCGTTGCAGCAACATCTCCTGGCAGGCAGGCATGCGATGTGAGGGACAGAGGGAGGGAAGATTAGGGAGGAATCCAAAGGTTCGCCCCAGCTCAGTTGGCCTCTCTTGCTCACTTGCCATTTTCATTCCACTTCCTCATGGCCATATTTGATTCAAGCATCAAATACAAGTGGGACATCCCAAAACAGGCCTTCCAGTCTAGCTACACCCATTTCCAGCACATTGCAACCCATGTGCTGTCTCATCTGCTCTTCCCCCGACCTTCACCCTGCACTTTGTGGCTAGTGAGTATACCCGGAACTTATCGGATTGTTCCTGGCATTCTCCTTCCTCCCCAAGGGATGTTTTCCTCAGATTCCTTGCACTTCTATAATGTGGGGCCCAAGCAGCCTGCCAAGACCTCCTGTGTGTGTGTGGGAGTGGGTGGTGCCGTGTTAACACTGGAAGCACAGGCCTTCACACCTGAACTGTCCAAAGCAAGGGAATGGTTCTGGAGAGCTTTCCTCCCTATCCTTGCTCTTCCCAACTATGCAAGTGACAACAAATCTACCACACCCCACAGCCACCTTCTCCATGACTAATTAACTGCCATGGATGGGGCAACTGCTATGGGATAATCATGGCCCATTTTGCCTGAGTCACCCCTTCTTATGATCGTATGACCCATTTGGCACTGGAATCGCCCTGACCTAAATTCTCTCTTTCTCCCTTAGCAACCAAGAAAGCATATCTCTTGTGCCCAAACTGGATTATTTATGTAATTTATTATTATTATTACATGAAAAATTCTGTATCATCTTTTCACAGAGCACAAAAAGCAACACACTGTCATAAGTTAGAAACAGGATGTTTTTTTTTAACAAAAACAACTGTATTATATTGAATGAGGCCATTTGATGCATTTACTCAGTTTTGTTTGCTGCTAATCAAACCTCTTCGGAGTTTCTGAGAGGGATCCTACCAGAAGATCCCAGAAACTGATCCCAGGACCTCCGGCATGCAAAGTACAGCCTCTGCCTCTGAACTGCAACCATTCTGCACATAATAAGAAATCTACATTCCTTATGCTGCCATCCTAGACCCAACTTACTATGGAGAAAGGTCCACTGACCTTTGTTGGACTAACTTTTGAGTAAACTTACTTAGGATTGAGCTGCATGGTGCTTCAATGGATTTAGGCAACCATCCTACACAAACTTACTTGTGGGTTACCATGGGATTTTCTCTAGAAATGTTCTAATAAAAATAAATAAATAAATAAATAAATAAATAAATAAATTTGCATGCATACGCTTAATCAACTTTAGTTGATTAGTTGATTAATCTTTGAGCATCAGTTGTAGGAGTGCAAATTAAGAATATCTGCTTGTCAATTTTTTAGGTTCTTACGGGACTTCTTAAAGGAAATGTTAAATGAAAATGCAAGCATTCAAGGCAACATTTTAATGAAGCAATGATCCATTGCCTTTGTTTATTGAATATCAAATTACACTTCCTTCAATATCTTAAAAATCTGAGCACTATGGGTTCTATGAAAATCTATTGAATTTTAATCAGTTAAATGTTGATGAAGAAGAGATGCTATCATTGAATTAAAATGATTGAATTGATAATAATGAATGAATACCTTAGATATGGTGCCACCACCAAGAAAGACATGTATTGAGTACATTCAAGTTCCCTAGAGTACATGAAAAAACGAAATAGCATGTCTCTATTTATAAAATAACCAGCTGGAAAAAAAACTTTAGACAAAAATTAGGTTGCAGTACTAATTTCAATGAAGCAAGCCCCATTCAAAAAAATTAAATTTATCCATGAAATGACATGTATGGGCTTAAGGCTGGAATCCCGTCTATGTTTACCTGGCTCTAAGTCCTACTGAATCCAATGGGGCTTATTTCAGGGTAGGTGTGTACAGGATTACCTTGTCTGTCCTAATCTTATTGATCCATGTTAAGCTGAAGCATCAGCTTGCCAAATTCAACTGTTGCAAATGTTTAAAAAGTATCATACATGCATATATGTTTGCAAGCATATTCTTGTAAGAATAAAAGATATTTAAAAATATCTTTTAAAATAAATTACATGTGACTCATGATCCCCACAGTGGAACAGCCAAATACAGAAAAGGGAGGAGAAAAATATGGCTGGAGAGCAGAGGACAAATAAATCTGTGCTCCAAGTGGAAAAATCACTCCAGGTTTTCTAAATGAAAAATATACGTTAAAAATGTTGGATTTTAAGAAAAATAAAATGTGAGTTTATTTAGTTCTGCTTTTTTTTCTAGGTTTTGATGTACTATTATTGCTGTAAAAGGCTGGGGAGGGGGGAAAGAAGGTGCTAAGAAGGTTTCTCCTAAGCATCTATTTCCAAAACATCACATTTTGTCTCCTGATAATGTATCTGGCAAAAAAAATCTGTGACTTTCCATTGTTGGCAAAGTAGTGCTTTGCATGTTAAACCAGAGGGGAATCGAAGTGGTGGGGGAAAGGCATGTCTCTGATATAAAAGTCAGCAATGTTCAATAAAATGTGAATAATAATAAGTCCTGTTGGACATTGGATGTGCAGATCCATTGGATCCATTGTGCAGATATCCAGCTTCCACCCATGATACAACTCAAAAATGCGTAGATGAGATTCCCAGGTAATGTCCCACCTTAGCACTGGCCGAGCTCAAACCTGCAAGGCTGTTGCACTACACACCTGTGCCATCGGACTGCAACCCCTCCTTTCTTTCTCCAGAGCATGGGCGTTGAACATTTTCTTCCACCAGAGGGCCCAGCATCTTCCTGGAGTTGCTCTCAGGGGACATAAATAAAATGGACAGGACCCCAGTATCTTTTTTTAAAGCTACATATTTGAATGTAAAGATCTTACTGAGCCTTGGAAGAGGCAATACAACCTTTTAGATTAGGGATGGGGGGGAACGGCAGCGACAGCCCCAAAGCACCAAACCACCTACTGCTTCAAAACCACCAAAGTGGATGGCCTGGGACCCCCAAAGAGCTGGATTGGACCCACAAGTTCTTGACTCTGCAGCAAAATGTGGAGACCAGCATTTTGCCTTTGAAGTTTGGCGATAAGCCAAAGCTAATCCTGTGCCTAAATATCAAGTTAATTTGGTTTCTCTATGTTTTAAACTATGAGCATTGCAATGGGTCACTGAACTTGCTAGCTGCAGCCACACCTAGCATTAAGAGAAGCGCCCTTTCCATTCCCCAGATCAGAGAAGTCTTGGGGACTGCACACCGACAGAAAAGCAAGCTACATCTGAGGAACTGTTTTGGCAACAGGTAAGAGCTGGGCTCCTTATTTAAAGAAGAAAATGGGGTTTATTCTTTGTGCCAAGAAAAACGGAAAGTTTGTCCCATGATGATCTATGAATGGATTGTTTTTCCCAATCTGCAGAAAGATGCAGAAAAATTGGAAAGGGTCCAGAGGAGGGCAACAAAAATGATCCAGGGTTTGGAAGCACTGCCCTATGAGGGGAGACTGAGAGAATCGGGCATGTTCAGCCTTGAGAAAAGGGGGGACATGATATCCCTCTATAAGTCCCTCAAAGGCTGCCCCAAAGGGGAAGGTCAAGATCTCTTCTTGCTGATGCTGGAGTGTAGGACACGGAATAATCAATTCAAGTTGCAACAGCCCAGATTCAGGCTGGACATCAGGAAAAGCTTCCTCACTGCTGGAGCAATACAGCAGTGGGACCAGCTGCCTGGAGAGGTGGTGGGCTCTCCCAAACTGGAGACATTTAAAAAGAACCCGGACAGCCATCTGAGTGGGATGGTGAAACTTGGTGTCCTGCAACAGCAGAGGTTGGACTCAATGGCCTTCATGGCCCCTTCCAACTTTACTATTCTATGATTCTAGTCTAAAGCCCATGTTTCAGAACCACCCAGGAGGGCTGTAATGGCAAAAGGAGGGGCATTTTGCTGAGTGCTACATTTAACTGACAGCTTACATCCACAGTGGCTCTGCTAGCTCATTTTAGACTCTAGCATTAACATTTCGGGGAGAGTCCATTAGCTGACCATGGGCAGACCTCCTCTTTGGAATATGCTATTAACGTTCCTTTCCACCCCACCACTCTTCCATATTTTATGGCCAGTACCAGGTTTTGGAGGGCTCTTGGGCAAAACACCTCCATGAGCCCCCTCCCTGAGGGAGTCTAGCTACTCTGTGCCATGGCCACCAACTGCTCTCGGACCACTTCTTCTCCCTCACCGTGGCTACCACATGCTTGTTTGCTTGCTGGGCATACAGAAGCCATGGCATCCATTCTTCTCATGGCCTCCCCCACCAGGGTCAGTGGAGGAGACAGAAGACGAGCCATGGGGAAGAAGGGGAGCAACCCCAGAGTGTGTCTCGCCAGTGAGCCCCTCCTGGAAGGCAGCCCCCGGCAGGTATCTAATCCTGCTCGCCTCCGATGCCAAGACCTAATGACTGCTGCTGCATTCCTGATAAGACAGAGCAAATACAGGCAAAGCTTGCCAACCCGATTCTAAAGTACTCTGAGGATGTGTGTTTTGGCATTTGGAAGCCACCTAATCATAGCAACCTCATGACCACCAGAATAAAATAGAATCTGCCGCTGCCACCCAGGAGCTGAACATATTTAACTGGGAATAAGCCCCACCTAGTTATAGAAAAAGATAAACTATATGCAAAATGAAAATAATAACCGGTGCATCTCTAACTCTGCACATGCCCAGCTGGTCAGTCTATCACAACAAAATGTTCATAGAGCAAATAAAAAGGAATAATTTTTAAGGAATAATAATTTCATTTATAATAAAATGTTCATTAAGTAACATCACCTGTGGGGGGCCATGCATGGTTTGCCATGGCCAAATCATCTACCACTTTCATTACCCTCCCCAGCTCTGGGTCTTCAGGTCAGCCCCAGGATCAGCCCTAGCTGAAAGAGCTTCAGTCCCACAG